TCAACATGAACACTTAATATGTTGAAGCAAGTTATGGTTCAATTTTTTTTTGCATTTTAGTATGTAGTAAAATTGTGTATAAAATTTGTGTTCAAATTTGATACTACAGGTAAAAAGTGGAATTTGGTAGTAAATTCCTCAATTGTCCTTATCTTGCTTTTCTTGGTGCAATATGCATTATATTGATGATTGTGTATCTTAAAAATGATTTTATCAATCAATTACACAAATTGCAGATTGAAATGTTATATTTACAACAAATAATTGCATTCGAAAATTGATAAATCTATATTTATTACTTTAGATGGCTAAACGGTACAGTGACGATGTTCTAGGGGTCACTGATGGCAATTCAATTCAATTCCAATGCCGATTATGATGAAGAGAACTCTAGTACTGGTAGTAGCAATGAGGACGATAAAACCCTTGATGATGGTCTTGAAGAGAAAGATCTTACTATGTCACAGGCAACAAAACAGTGTGGTAGAAACAAAGTGAAAAGAGAAATGAAGGGAAAGGCACATATAGATTCTGACTTTGATAACAGTGATGACCAGATTAGCACAGAAGAAGGTCTAACATTAACACAGGCCATAAAGAACACATAAATCTGCAAAGAAAAAAGTGAAAATGAAGGAGTACAAGTGGAGAAAGGCAGCATTTGACCCTCCAGATCAGGGGTGTCAAACTCAAATTCACAGAGGCCAAAATTAAAAACTGGGACTAAGTTCTGGGCCAAACTGGAAAATTTCAACAGCATCTGCATGTTTTCTCTTCTTTGGAGATCTGTAAAGTTAAACCTTTTCTTATTAAACTAAATGTTTAATAATAGTTTTGCCTAAAATTGAATCCAGAACAAGTATAATATAAAATAATAACAATATTTTAAATAAATAATGTCTCTATAGCCTATTTGTAGTCAGCAGGCCAGCTACATATTTGATATGATCTCGCGGGCCAAATGTAATTATACTGTGGGCCAAATTTGGCCCCTGGGCCTGAGTTTGACATGTCTGCTCTAGATGTTCCATTTGTTGAGAGTGCAGTTGAAGGTATTGTAGCAGTTTAAAAAAATAAGAGGCCGATATTCTTGTTATATATTCGATATTATATAATACAAGAAAAAGTTACTGGAAAAGGAATCAGTATGAAAAAATAAGAGGCCAATGTTCTTTAAAGCCTTAGCTGCTGTTTTCATGCTTACCACTGTTCATAATAAAAGAGAAAAGAAGAAAGAGACCTAAAGAAGATTATGTTTTTTCTGTATTGCCAGATACATGTAATGCCCGATGTATCATTTATGATACAAATGGAAAAACCAATATGCAAATTTTTTATTTTTTTTTATTTTGTGAAAAGGCCCCATAAAGGTTCCAGATTCAAAAAATCTGAATTTTCTGTCCATTATTTCTGGGGTCAGGCATTACAGTTGGCCCATAGCAAATTTCACATCACCTCATATTTAATGAGCCTAATAAAGAACCTTCTTAACCCTATAATGCCAAATGTGTCAAATTTGATACAAGCATTTCTGAGACCTGTTGCATCACCATATGGTAAAAACTTCACTCAAAAGTCTGTTGTATCCAATCTGGTACTTGTCTTTAACCCCCTGGTGGATGCCTTTATCACTACAACAATTAAAACACAGTACATGGGACAATCCGAGATGGCTACCTTCAGACAGTTCCCAAATCACTGGATCAAGGTAAAGAAAATTGTGATTTTTACAATTTTCCAGTGACATTTTCTTTGAAATTTTTGGTAATATTTCAACATGAACACTTAATATGTTGAAGCAAGTTATGGTTCAGTTTTTTTTTGCATTTTAGTATGTAGTAAAATTGTGTATAAAATTTGTGTTCAAATTTGATACTACAGGTAAAAAGTGGAATTTGGTAGTAAATTCCTCAATTGTCCTTATCTTGCTTTTCTTGGTGCAATATGCATTATATTGATGATTGTGTATTTTAAAAATGATTTTATCAATCAATTACACAAATTGCAGATTGAAATGTTATATTTACAACAAATAATTGCATTCGAAAATTGATAAATCTATATTTATTACTTTAGATGGCTAAACGGTACAGTGACGATGTTCTAGGGGTCACTGATGGCAATTCAATTCAATTCCAATGCCGATTATGATGAAGAGAACTCTAGTACTGGTAGTAGCAATGAGGACGATAAAACCTTTGATGATGGTCTTGAAGAGAAAGATCTTACTATGTCACAGGCAACAAAACAGTGTGGTAGAAACAAAGTGAAAAGAGAAATGAAGGGAAAGGCACATATAGATTCTGACTTTGATAACAGTGATGACCAGATTAGCACAGAAGAAGGTCTAACATTAACACAGGCCATAAAGAACACATAAATCTGCAAAGAAAAAAGTGAAAATGAAGGAGTACAAGTGGAGAAAGGCAGAATTTGACCCTCCAGATCAGGGGTGTCAAACTCAAATTCACAGAGGCCAAAATTAAAAACTGGGACTAAGTTCTGGGCCAAACTGGAAAATTTCAACAGCATCTGCATGTTTTCTCTTCTTTGGAGATCTGTAAAGTTAAACCTTTTCTTATTAAACTAAATGTTTAATAATAGTTTTGCCTAAAATTGAATCCAGAACAAGTATAATATAAAATAATAACAATATTTTAAATAAATAATGTCTCTATAGCCTATTTGTAGTCAGCAGGCCAGCTACATATTTGATATGATCTCGCGGGCCAAATGTAATTATACTGTGGGCCAAATTTGGCCCCTGGGCCTGAGTTTGACATGTCTGCTCTAGATGTTCCATTTGTTGAGAGTGCAGTTGAAGGTATTGAAGAAAGGTGTGAGTTTAGCAGTAGCAGTTTAAAAAAATAAGAGGCCGATATTCTTTTTATATATTCGATAGTATATAATACAAGAAAAAGTTACTGGAAAAGGAATCAGTATGAAAAAATAAGAGGCCAATGTTCTTTAAAGCCTTAGCTGCTGTTTTCATGCTTACCACTGTTCATAATAAAAGAGAAAAGAAGAAAGAGACCTAAAGAAGATTATGTTTTTTCTGTATTGCCAGATACATGTAATGCCCGATGTATCATTTATGATACAAATGGAAAAACCAATATGCAAATTTTTTATTTTTTTTTATTTTGTGAAAAGGCCCCATAAAGGTTCCAGATTCAAAAAATCAGAATTTTCTGTCCATTATTTCTGGGGTCAGGCATTACAGTTGGCCCATAGCAAATTTCACATCACCTCATATTTAATGAGCCTAATAAAGAACCTTCTTAATAAATGGTGCATTTGATAGCATGGAGCTCTTACAAGAAACCCTCCATTGTCAACATGAGACTGTAAAAAAAGTTTCCAAGGAGCACATTTTCAACAGATGTAATGCCATGAGTTTGAAGTGAAGTTAATTGCTTGGTCAACCAACTAAAAAAAAAGTGAAATGAAATAGCTGAGTGTGGTTGTAGCCTGACAGTTTTGTGCCTCAGTTATCAAAAATAGTGATATTACAAGGTTTTTTTTTCCTGAAGGTTTTGTTGAAAAAGTTTTGATTGGCCTGCCAGCTGCTCATGAGGTAATCCTGGACTCACTGATAACACTCAGAGCTACTGAGCATGGAACTGCTGCATTTTTTACAGTGTATGTCACTTCATAGGCCTTTGGTAAAAGTCCCAATCGCCTTCAGCTGAGATTTTAAAAAAAGCACCATGTTATGAAAGTTTTATATTTGTCATAAATATTCACATCTTTGACCAGAAAGTGACTTGTTTACACACAGTTTGGCATTAAAAATTGATTTGCTGCCGTGGGGTTAACTCCTACAATAGCATAAACTTTGCTCTAGAGATAATGTAAAAATATATACATTTTATCATATGTGCAATAATCAAATAGTATTTCTTTTTCAGCTTTGCACTATAGCTGCTGCATAAAACGTTGAAAATACTTGTTTAAGGCTTTGTTTTTTTTGTATTTTTATTACAAAAAAAGAAGTGGGTGTAGACAGAAGGCATCCTGGAAGTGTGACAATGAACTAAGTGTTCAGTGTTGTGAAGGAACAGCAGATAAGCATGTACCACCCAGTCCCCTGTGATTCCATGATGAAAGTAACTCTTACATAAACTTCATGCCTCTCTTGTGATCAGGACTGTGAGCGCTGACTCCTCTATCTCTGATCATTTGATCATTAGTCACATGGATAACTTCTCTACAGATTAAAATCCTGTTTCCTATGTAAAACCCAATGTTTCATCTACTTCAAAAAGGTTGTGAATGTTAAAATGTGTCATGTCATGTAATACAATTTTTTTTTTTTTAAATCCGCCTCCCCGTGAGAAGATGCAATTTGTGAAATGCATACAAAAAAATGTTTAGCGTTTGTGCTACTTGGACTGTGCTTCTCCAAACAAACAGCTACTGCTTGGCAGGCTGCTATGAGCTGATACCAAAGGTTTGGTTCATTGGGCACATTTAATCAAATTATACATAATCACTGGGCCTTGAGGACCAAATTTTGTTCTCTCATGTGTCTTTGCATGTTGGAACGACAAATGAAGAAGAACCTTGATACAGTTGTTTTTCAGGTTTCAAGCAGGGACTATTTGACAGTACTATAGTTGGTCCTTATGGTGCACCACAATGCGTGGCCTTGTGGCATGAGAATGTAGAGAGTGGCACTGGCCCCCACACTCCCCTGACCTATTTCTAATAATAGACTACCTTTGGGACATATACTTCGGCCATTATAGCGTTGTCAGTGTACTGGGGATACCCAGTACACCATTCCATGTCTCACCAGGTCCTTACCCTTGTCAGGCATGTATAAAAGCAACAACTGTGCATTATGACTTGCTCAAAGAAAATGAATTGTCCTTCTCTTTGGATTCAGCCCATTTTCAAATGATCCATGGCATTATAGACTTACACTCTTTATGATCTGACATTTTTCCAAGGTGAAGAGTTGTGTGTTTCACAAACACGTCTCTCCTGTTTCATAGATGAGCAGTAAGCGCTCGAGTAGTTTCCGACGAGCTATCGCCAATGGGCGGCGCACACTGCAGAGGGAGATCCTGCTGGATGAGACGGGGCTGGGCCTGTACAAGCGTTTTGTCCGATATGTGGCCTATGAGATCCTGCCCTGTGAGACTGACCGCCGCTGGTACTTCCACCAGAACCGCCTGTGTCCCCCACCTGTCTTCATCGCTGTGGTCACCATCGTGCAGGTATGTTTTTTAGCACTGTGACAAACACAGATGCTTTTTGTGTTTTTCATCCGCACACAAGCACAAAGCCCTTTGCATTTTCAGCCGAATGCTCACATACATCAGCCATACTGTTATAGTTTCATGTAACTGGAAAACCGATGTGTTCAAGTTTTTTTTCTTTTTAACAGGTTACAAGAAAGCAGGTCAAGTAGCTCTAAGGCACATGTCTATGTGAATGACTTTAGATTAAACAGCAATCCACTTTTAAGCAAAACTTGATTGGCCCTAAAATCATCACAGTTGAAAAGGGAAACAAAACAGCCTAGTGCTCTCCTAATATGCCCAAATAGTGCTGCAGTCTGCAGTAACAATAGGGTTATGATAATTATAATAATGATTCACATTCATTTTAATTCAAGACCAGAATGATTCATTATTGTATGAAGGGAAGTTAATGGAGTAGAACCAGATGTGGCGGGGGGTTTATGACTTCATAATCAGCTGAATACCGAAAAGGGAGAAGTCGCCTTATTTAAAACATGTTTTTTGATTCCAATAGAAGGACCATAATGATTTCTACTCTGTTTCAGATTATCGTGTTTATGTGCTACGGCATCATGTTAAACAAATGGGTGCTGCAGACCTACCAGCCTGACTTCATGAAGAGCCCCCTGGTGTACCATCCTGGCCACCGTGCTCAAGTGTGGCGATTCTTTAGCTATATGTTCATGCACGTTGGGTATGGTTTGTCAGTTACCTTATATTCTATACAGTCAACAATATTTTTACAATCATATAAAGATTTGTAAAAGTATAACTATGTCAGCCTAGTCCATCATTTGCGATACCTTTAACTTGTAGGAAGCCAGTGTACAGATTATGGTCTGTATCGTTTTGTAATGTTGCTTTTATTGGTATTTGTTAACTTTTGAAAAAGTGGTGTAGAATATGTAAACCAAAGAAACATTTTATATATAAATTCTTATGTTTAAATCTCAGCCTTAAGACAGAAACTGTTTGATTTAATTTGTATTTATTTATTTATTTTTAGCTTGGAGCAGCTGGGCTTCAATGCGTTACTGCAGCTGATGATCGGTGTCCCATTGGAGATGGTCCACGGCATCTTACGGATAAGCCTGCTCTACATGGCTGGAGTACTGGCTGGTAGGTTTTTTTGTATTAAAAATAAACACATTTATTATTTATTCATATGTAGACTAAATGTTGAAAGCCCATGCCAAAAGCCCTGTTTCCCCTTTTAAAGATCATCACACAGTGGGGGCCATTTTGACAGTTGGTTGCAGCTTTTTGCACTGTCAACAGTAAAGTGACCTAGTTGGGTTCTACTGCTTCTTCAACATGTATTGTTGTGGAATACACACCATTTGTCTTTTCAATTTTACTACTACTATCATTTATCACATCTGGCCTTTAGACCTGCATAAAGCTAACTCCCCAGAGCACCGATTTGGTGGAGCCTTGGTTTCTATCTGACATTGTAAGTGACCTATTTGATGTTTTTTGATAAACTTGATCCGGCTCTTGTCCCCGGTGCTTTGATAAATGCAGTGTCGCTGATGTGAGCAAAGTGGAGTGACTCGCTGTGCCCAGAGGTCAAGCCACAGCTCTGCACAAGCCTTTGTTGACAAGAAACCTCATTAACTCTCATTCTCCGACGAGCCACAGAGGAGGTGGGAATTTAAAATCCAGGCCTGTCGTAAGAGACTGCATCTAAAAGCTTTTTATTTGTTAGTCTGCTCATTTAAGTATATTTGATTACAGTGTGATTAGGTTTATTTTAATAGGAAAGAAATGACTGAACAGAAAAGGATAAATTGTTAATAGAACTGTATGTAGCATGTACAGTTTTTAAAAAGTACTATAATCATAAACCTGGGTTGCTGGTGCCTTAATTTATAGAAGACACACACACACGTTTTCCTCATTCTCAGTACTTGGACAGCAAATACTGCAGCAGCAGAGGCACTGATTCATGACTGGCTGGAGGTGCTGGATTTTTGGTAGTGAGGGTTCAGATGAGAGTTGCAGTTTAGGTTTAAACCAACTGGATTTCAGCATTGAAACTGGCAGCCCAGATGAAGGACAGTTGTGAGGCTCTTTCTGTTTTCTGATGTGATTGTCTTGGGAACCATAGCACCAAAGAAATGGGACATCATGTTCATTGTTTTTGTAATTAAGAATAAATCATCATTACAATTGTCATCAGTAAACACTATATTTGATTTGATTGTCTACCTCATATCTGGGGACACAGGTTAGATCATGTTTATAGAATTTAAACACAAATTCTTACATACCATTAACATGTACTTCGCATATGAATTTCAAAGTGAACACGTAGTTTGAAGCATTTGATTTGTGGTGATTAACCAACCTTCCAAAAATAAATTATAAAAAATAAATATTACCTAATTATTAAGTAAATCTATTCATGTTTGAAATTATCCATTTTATGCATATGTGTTGCTATTTCTGAGTCCACATTAAATCTTTTTATGTAAGACTGCAATTTTGTCAAGTTTAGATCACTCTCTGAATCTTTAAAAATCTGTCCTTCTATAAGACAAAAACAGTGTTAAAAATACTGTACCAGCTCTGGCAACATGCCAAATCAGCCCTGATAACCTATGTCAATGTCCTATCTAGACGTACATCCTTTAGAGCCCTTTAAAGTCATAACCCTCTTCCCTGTCACGCACATAGTTATTGCTCATGAATTATTATAGCTTTGATTTATTTTAGTGGTGATGACAGAGGCAGAGTGAACAGGGGAGCAAGCGCAGGACTTAGCTGAAGAAAGTGGGAGAGTAATGCAGAGCCCGTCTTTGGGGAATTAGCCTAAGTGCTGTTTGAGAAGCCATTTGCAAATTTAAGCTGCAGCCTGAGTCACAAACGCTGGAGAGGAAACACAGAGAAGATGCTAACATTTTATGTTGGACTCGCCTCAGAGGAGCAGTGGGGGGTCAGGGCTTATGGTCGCTCTGTAAAGGGAGCAGGAACATTCAGGGAAAGGTGAAACATCAGAGGCTTTGAACACAGCTGGGGGGATTTCGGTATGGCTCAATGATCTGTGGTCAAATGTACTTCGTATTTACCCAATTCTGTAGAAGTAACATAAATAAACTAGGGAATTTAGTGTTTTGAAAAGAGGGTTACAGGTCTGCCACCTGCTTGTCTCCATCAAGATGTTATTGTTTTACCGTGGAAGGTTCCACAGTATGGCATTATTTTGGCACTATTTTTCAAGGATACAAGCAGGTGGTATTTTCAGCAATAAAAACTGTGACATAAGTAAGTTTAGTGCTATACAGTGGAACATTCCAGACAAAGCAATAACATATCCATGGAAACAAGCAGTTTACCTAAAAGTAAACCTTTAAGCTAAAACGTAAGCTTTGAAAACATTTAATATAGCTATTTTTTCCTCTCTCTCTTTGGTTAGTATAACTCCTAGTAAATAGCCCATTGCACTATTACTGTCATATCAATCACCATTATCCATGTTACATAAGTAAACCATGAAAATGCCTGCCACATATCCCGCACATACATGACATACTCCCCTCTCCTATCCCTCCTTTCATTGCTGTGATGTTTAAGCAAAGCTGCCTGTTTTATACAGTGCCACCATGTCCCTTCAGTCTTGATAAATGTGTGATCGCTTGTGGATGCTGGAAAATTGTCCCGTATTTTAGATTTTCAGCTCGAAGGAACTGCAGGTTTTTTCCTTTCTGTCTTCCCTTTTCTCCGCTGCTTTGGCTCATGTTTATATTCATGGTGTGTCTGACTTTGCTCATAACCACAGTTGTGTCAGATGGTGCGATCACTTTGTGCACACATGTAGCTTGGGAGTTACAGTGGCGTTGCAGCTCAGTGGGTGCTTTTAAGGACTGATGTATACCACCAGGATGGGAGATATACATCCCTATGTGGTAATACCATCTAGTAATCCTGTCACCTTCTTTTGCAAAGGATGATGGGAAATATGTATCAACGTTTCACCCAAACCACACCTGCTTTGTTGCACCTATTTGTGTTTTTTCAAGTTCTTCATCCCCAGTTGCTGCAGTCTGTCTGAACATATCACACATTGCCAAGACCAGGTTCCCTTGTAGATGTAGGAGCCCTGGGACATCTGTGCTCGTCACACAGATTCTGACACGTCCCTCTTCCAGACAGCCTTTCATGAAAGCAGGCATCAGTCTGTCATATTCTTTTTATGTTCAAATCAGCTCAGACGCTACTGTGTCAATATTGTATCCCTGCTTCACAACGACTGCCACTGTCTGTCCGCAATGTAAGATTCAACAAGGAAGGAAAGAACGGGATTATGGGAAAGCTCAACTTTGAATCATTTTACTTCAGTTCTCAAAACACATGGGATGTGTTCATGTATATTTCATTTGTTTATTTTATTTTGTGGATCTCTTGTTGTTGGCAAAAATTACTTAATAGATGTCAAATACATTTGTTCTGAACTTGGAGCTTATTACATAGTTACCTTAAAGAGGACAGTGTTCTTTTTTGGGTATTGTAATAATCTATAACATACAAACATAGATAAACATTTTACATTTTATTCAGTGTAAACTCCTCACTATTGATCTAAAACAGGTTAATAACAGTAGTGGCTCCACTGCAGGACTGATATCCTGTAAGTAGCATGCATGTAGCATTATTGTTGATATTGCTATGTGACAGTTTTTTTGACACTCCTGTTTGACCTGGGGTCTGAATTCTTTCAGTAATAGCAATTAAGTACAGAGAAGTGGGTAGAGATAGAGGGTATGTAGTAGTATGTAGTAGGTGAAAAGAGAACTCAAACATGCATGATCAATCAAACACAACTTTGAATAAGGTACTGATTAAGGAATGCAATTATAACACATTTAAACCCTCATAAAAGTTGTTTTTGCATAATATGTCCCCTTTAACTACTATAAACACACAAAAAGCCATCTTTGAATAAGGCACTGATGAGGGAACACCATTATATCATGTTTAAAAGTTAATTAAAGGCCATTTAAATATGTCCCCTTTACTAAAAAGAGAGAAAAATATCCACAAATCCATTTTTACTAAAGAACATTTGGGATCTATCCCAATACATCAGAGGCTATAAATCCCCCATTAGTATGGTGTGATACTGATGAGAGAAATCCTGCTCTAACAGTAACAGACTTCTGATCAGAATAATAAGGAGTCCTCAGTCTCATAGTATTGGACCTTGTGAGCACATTAGCTGCATGTGAACAGCCTCATGTGCACACTGCCTATAGAGGTCTGCTGTAAATTATGCATCAGGATATTTAAGCTGTGCACTCTGCTGTTAGTGACTAAACTGTGAAGAGTAGTAGCGGCGTGCCTCTGCTCCATATGTATTGGTGCCCTGAGTCAAGAGGAGAGTGCTGTGGGGGTGGAGGAGGGGTGTCTCTGAGCATCCTGGAGGGGATTTGTAATGCAAATGTGATAAATGGCAGCATGTCTGTATAACCTCATTGCTGCCGACTGGTTGATGGTGTCATTATGTAGCGGTGCCAGCCTACGTGCAGTGTTTAATCTGTGAGCGACTGATGAATTTAGTTCTGGTGCGAAGCCTGGTGTCAGCTGTGGGCCATGGCCATAGAGGGGAAGATTGTCAGTCTTAATTTAGCCTGACGATTGTTTCTGCGCTCTGGCTAATAAAAGCCTATCGGGTTTCCAAATGACTACAGGTCTACATTACTAAGCGCTCTCTCTGTGTTACATAATGGGCATTGCTTAGACACAGGCATGGGGCATATTCACATACAAATCTTTAGTCTTGACAAAATATCTGTTTTCCCAAAAATGTATTGGCTAATATTTTGCTGAGATCAAAATAATTTTCACAGAAAATAACCTGGATGCAGATATTTCATTACATTGTATTATTTATATTTAACAATAGTGACAGAGCCTGTAAGCATGTTACCCCCGGAAAAAAAAATGCTTTGCACATTTTCTCCTAGTGTGTCTTCTTGTATTAGGATGGGTATCTGGTCTCAAAATGAGCCTACTCAAGCATTTAAGAGGATCACAATAGCCACTGGAAACTCTTGATTGAATTACAGGTAGCTTGGATAAGTGCCTAGTTTTATCTCACTATTTCTAAAAAGATAGCA